GCACGGACTGGCAAGATATCGGAGGCTCTGCGAACCATCCTGAATCATTATGATCTTCAGGTGAATATTGATAATGATAAAATTGACAGAAAATAAAAGTTTCACTGATTAAAAAGTCAATTTTTCCTTGCTTTGAACATCTGTGTTCTATACAGATTACAGCTCTGATCTGGAGAAGACTATTTTAAAATACTGTGTAGGATTTTTGTCAAATGAGTAAGAAACAGACTCTTTGTCATAAGAGAAAGAAAGGTTGTGTCTTAAAAGAAATGTCTCCAAAATTATGTAGAGTCTAATGCCATGCAGTTTCATAAACATGTATTCTCCCCAAAGAATGACACCTGAAAACTTTGTGTTAAATGAACTTTTCTTTTCCCTTTTTAGGGGACGCCTGATGTCAACGTGAAACGCGCTGCAGTGCTTCGTGCCCTTCCTGTATACCTGCAGGAGGAGGACCCAGAATTCTTTAAGACATGTAATGTAAGTGTATTTTTGCATTACTTAAATTCTGCCAGTGAGATGAAACACCATGTTTTTTTTTTTTAAATACAATTTAATACCCTAGCAGCTACCAAATTGTACAAGCCAAATACCCTCTCTTTAGAAAACCCTCACACACACACAGGGTCAGGAGCAGGGCACAGGCGTATCACAGCACTTTGGCTATGCTGCAGGTGGCCGAAGGCTGAAGTCAAGATTTAGTTTCTTTTTGAGATAAAGTCATAAAATAAAAAATTACTTTTTTTTAGAAAAGTAACAAACATACTAATTATGTAATGCAAGAAGCTAACGCGTTAATGTACATTTCTCAAAAAAGTAGAGTACCCTAACTCGTTACAAAGTAACCCACTACACTGCTGAATGTTTTTCTAGAATTCAGTTCTTGCTTGTCACATTCTCTCAAACCAACCTTACTTATTGATACTGTGTCTATTCCAGGCGGACACATTGGATGAGTCAACCCTCATTGACACTCCAGTTGCCCTTCTCACAGTGGTTACCGACGGCGCTTCCCAGACCAGTCCTGTCCATTTTACTTCCTCAAGCATGGCTGTTGTGGTGTTTATTTGTACCCATTTTAAAAAATTGTTTTTCATTTCTTTTTGAAACAAAAGTGATTAGTATTTGACTTTTTGTTTTGAATTTTTGTGTATTTTCAGAAAGATGCAATTAGGACTGATGTTGTCCTTTGTGATTTTATAAAAAGATAAATGTTCTACACTAAATTTATAAGGCTCACTTTATGGTGCCCATGTCCATGTTAGTGGTTTTATAAAAACATTTGTGATGTTTTTACATTTCCATTAAAAAAAAGTTAAATGAACAAAATCTAAAGTAAATGAATTTCTGTAATTTTTTTAGTAGTCTAAACTCAAACATTTAAAAATAAATATCTTTTAATTAATAATCATATAATTTGCGTTTAGGTTGTAATATAATTGCATTGTGTTGGGTCAAAATAATAAACTACAAAAAACACAAAAATATTAAAATTAAAGTATATAGTTATTAAGTAAAGCTCAATTAATAAAATACAAAATCTAATTTTTAAGTTAACAATAAATACAAATTTTGAGTACCCCATACTTAGAAGCGATGAGTTTGTGTACTTAAATCTTTTGAGGTAATCAGTTTCCACAAATGTTTTAAGTTCAGTCAACTTATTCGGGTTTACAGTGTAGTATCTAAAATGAGTATAAGCATGCGAAGCATATGAATACTCTGGGCCGACTTAGAGCGCTGGTGTTTTTGCTACTATTAATAATCCTTGGTCGTTCCTAAATTCCAAACAGTAACTAAGATTTATAAGCTGTTTGAAAGAGTGACACTAAAAATCATTCCATTATGTTTAGTCCTCAGTCTTTGATAAATAATTCATATTTCAGGTTTTCAAACTGACAACATAAAAATACTCCATTCTTGTAGCAAACGAGTTCCCAGTAGTTTAGTTCTTTGGCACTTTTAGCCTACCTAACTGCCTATCGATCATGCTGCCTTTTTCACTTGCCCTATAATCAGCTGATTTCACTTCTCTGTTGGAGGAAAATAGTGGCGCCGACTACAGTGTGGATATGGACATTACTAAAGGATGAAGTTAAATCATCCTGCTCAAACAACTTTGGCTCTTTACTGGTACTTGCACAGATTGCATGCTAACGCTAAGCTAGCCAAGAACCCAGAGTGACACTAAAGTCAGATGTTCGATGTTAAAACTCGTGATTCTAAATTGAGTATTGGGGTAAATGTGAATAGTTGTCTCTCTGTGTTAACCTCCACCATTACTCCTATGTCTGTTAGCCTGTCAGAATTCCTCTCTCCTGACCAACACGCCAGAACTCCCTGAGTCTGCAAGAATGTCAGGCTATGGTGGTAACACTTCAGCATACCAAGACATTTTGAACAACTTCATAATGATAAACAATGGATTGCATTTATATAGCGCTTTTCGAGACCCTCAAAGCACTTAACAATTCCACTATTCATTCACACACTGGTGGAGGCTACAGTTGTAGCCACAGCAGCCCTGGGGCAGATTGACAGAAGCAAGGCTGCCATATTGCACCATTGGCCTCTCTGGCCATCACCAGTAGGTGGTAGGTGAAGTGTCTTGCTCAAGGACACAACCACCAAGACAGACAGAGCAGGGGATCGAACCGGCAACATTCCAGTTATAAGATGAGTTTCCCAACCCCCTGAACCACAGTCGCCTTCATACTGCAAACTAGACCTTCTTGTCCAACATCAGTGTCTTATCGCACAAATGGGCTTCTGGAAGAATAATCTGATTCCCGCAATTACACTCCTAAACCTTCCAGAGTAATTTAAGTTGTTCTAGCTGCAAAGAATGAGATGTCACTGAAGATCATATCTGTGTGAAAGCAAGCCAGTGGATATTTTTGGCATATCCACGGTATGGTATGCAACAGCAAAGATGGTGGCAGACGTTTAACTTCTAGGGGGGAAAAAAGTTTTTGTAGAAGCCTACCTGCAGTTTAATTTGAAATGTACGCTTTTATTTTGATAGTACAGAAAAAACAGGAAGTTGGGCGAGAGGAGAGTGGAGCCACATGGTTTTTTGACCTCGCAATCTCTCTTCATCCTTTTTGAATTGAGCTTTATAAGTTTTTATAATTTGGAATTCTGTTGCTGTGTACCTGTTTGGACTTTTGAAGTAAATATTGAGAAACTATCAAGGACTGTTGTTTTGTTTTTTGGATATGGAAAGAGGGGCTAAGCGGAGCGTCAAGCTAAGGCTCCATTGAAAGGAAATCTACAGTTTTATTAAGCCTGCATTTGGGGCAAAGTCAGCAAACTGTCATTCCTGTCAGATTTCAATGTCTTTAATCAGCAGTGTGCACACTAACATCATGAATCAAATTTAACACATTTTCACTTGGTGCTTTAGACTTTTCTCTTACTAACACAAATGTATTATGCACCTGTGTCCCATAGAGCTGATTTATCCCACAATTGCTACCAGTTAGTGTGAGGAGTTCTGTGGAGAGATGATTGGAGTTAGGAGCATCAGAAAGGAGAACAATTAGTTGTATTGATTATTTCTCTGCCCTCCTGTTTGCTGAGGGACCACTCCTGTCATCTTCTGTTAAAAAAAATGTGTTTTGCATTCTGTCAGTAGTAAACTTCCTTTAACTTTTACTTTTCCGCTGTGGGCTTGTGTCCAGGTTTTATCCAAGTGCATGACAACTACTAATGTGACTTAAGCCTTGGATATGAGAGGCACTGTCATATGTTTGTATAACCCCAATTGCTTGTATACATGCCTGAAAATGTCAGGGCATGCTCCTAATAAGGTGACAGATGATGTGCTGGGGCATCTCTTCCCAGATATAGACGAGGGCATCACTAAGCTTGGACAGCCTGAGGTGCAACCATGACAGAAACATAATGTCGCAGAGGTGTTATGTTGAATCTATGTCAGGTGAGACTCTGAGCTGGTACCACACCAACACCAACGCAGACACCCCATGAGTGGAAAAGAGGCAATACTGAGGGTGTAGTTTCTGTCAGGAGTCCATGGTCTGTATAAAGATGGACGGAGCTACTATGACACCATGGCGTTATTTCTGACCCTGATATAACTGTCACTTTGGTGCATTTAAACCCCTGTTCCTCCCCTGTCCTCATCGTCTGTTGTCTTCATCTCCGTTATCACTCATCATAATTTACATTTGTTAACAAGTTCAGGGTGTATAAACACGCTGAACCGACAGACGCACTCTTTCTGCTGCTCTCTTGCTTTCCTTCAGAATCCTTGTAAGAACAAAAACGGACAACAAGGAAAAACAGAGAGAAACCGAGAAAACTCAAGCTGCCTCACCAGAAAAACAACTGTGTTCACTGTTTGTACAAGATCTGTTTTTTAAGTGTCTTTACAACTTGTACTTACATTATAACCAATCCGGTCCTTTATCCCCACTTAAAATATTTTTACTGAACTATCGTAATATTTGCTGCTATTTCTGCTGTCCTGTTGGGCAATTTACTCTTACAAAACACATTTTTAATGTTAATGAGATTTTTTTACTGCATAAATAAAGGTTATATAAAAGTCACTGCCAAAAACTGATTGCGTCTTCTATCTTGTTACAA